TGTTCCGGTTTTATTTTTTGACGTTTATTTTTAAGTTTGAAAAATTTTCTCTGAAAAGGTCAACTCTGTCATCCAAATGTTAGTTTTTTACTGGGAAGTTTCTTTTTTGAGTACAAACTTATTTTTAAAACTTCTTTCAGCTATGAAACATCGGAAATAGCAGTGACCTGCGGCAGCATGTTGCGTGAATGCATTCGGCACGAACACTTGGCTAAAATAATTTTACACAATCCTGTATTTTACAACTTTTTTCAGTACGTTGAGGTTAGTGTTATGTTTTCAAAGTCACTGCTCATTCCAAGTTCAAAAATATCCTTTTATGCAAACTTTTCAAAGTGTGTTGTTTTTATATTGTCTTTAGAAACAGTATTCTGTGATAATCTCTACCTTTGTATAATGTGGCCGTATTTCAAAACTTTTCTTTTCAATGTATTAATCGAAACAACAGTTTAGACCTTTATTTTTGAAAATTTTTTGTGGTGCAGTGTAGTACATTTTTGTTTGCTTCTTTCTACTCGGCTAAAAAGCTTGCGATTCTGCATTGCTGTGGTTATACTACGGGATTTTTTTTGTCGTTTATTCCCTCTAGGTGGCATAGTTGGAACTTTTAAAGAAAGAAAGTGTTTTTGTAACCGATATCGATGGTCATCGTGCGTCATACTTTTGTAATTTAATATGCCTCAAGCTTTTTAGGTCTCAACATTTGATATTGCCTCTGATGCTTTCTCAACTTTTAAAGACTTAATAACAAAACATAGAGGAATTTGCGCTGAATTTCTGGAAGCAAACTACGACAAGTTCTTTGAAAGTTACCAGAAGCTTCTTAATTCTGATAATTATGTTACGAGGAGGCAATCACTAAAGGTACGTTCTGCTGTGCAAGCCGAAATTTCTGCCCCCTTGTTTTAAACCGCTTTATTTGCTGTTATAATAGGCTGAGGATTGAAAAAACTTGAGCTTTTTGAGTTTGTTACCTGAATCCTTTTTCTAAAGATTTCAATATATGAAGTGTCTTTGCAGCTCTTAGGTGAGCTTCTCCTCGACCGCCACAACTTCAATGTTATGACACGTTATATCAGCAATCCAGAAAATTTAAAACTAATGATGAACATGCTTCGAGAGAAGAGCCGTACTATACAATTTGAAGCTTTCCATGTTTTCAAGGTGAATATTTTTTTTTTTTTGTAGGGCATTGTAATGAGCGGTAATCAGATGTTGTCTTTTTTGTGTTAGTTGACATTCTTTTTATCTTGAGCACTTCATTTTTTGATCAAAGTTGTCTTTTTTAATTTAGTAATGAGCAGTTTTTCAGGTTTTTGTCGCAAACCCAAATAAGCCAAAGCCTATAGCAGAAATACTATTGCGAAATCGTGAAAAATTGGTTGATTTTCTTAGTAACTTCCATACCGATCGTACTGAAGATGAACAATTCAATGATGAGAAGGCCTATTTGATAAAACAAATTCAGGACATGAAGTCTGCTTAGGTGTGTTTTTTGTTAGTTTTTTTTCTTTAGTTGCTCTTCAGCACCATTGAACAACCGGAGTTGTTATCTTTCACATTCAAACTGGTCTTGGATAAGCAAGGGTTAGAATTTTGGGGAATGTGTTATTTTTTGCAATTTAGAAGCATAGTTCATCTTGTTAAAAAAAAAGTAAGGATTTTAACATTGTTAGTGTGTGCTGTATGACCGCTTTTTTTTCCAGTTTTTGGTCCCGCAAAGGGTGTTGATGGTGTTAGGGTGTGCAAAATGTATAGAATAACCATTAGTTAAGAAAATAATAATGGTTATACAAAATGCATGGCAAATGGTTTCATTTTTTTGTATCTGCTGCTTCATTTATTGGCGCTTTTTTTGACGTGCAACCTAGAAATTGTAAAATTAATTGCATCTCCAGTTAACCAAAGACGGTCGGGAGAAGTTTTCAAACAGTCACATGTTGTAAGATAAATAGTCCTTGCCGATTCACTCAACTAAATGCCTTATCGTACCGTTGAAGCGCCGTTTTATTGCCTGCTTTACTATAGCTCAATCGCAAGTTGTGTAATTTTTTTGTGCCGAGAATTTATCCTTCTTGTTCATTGTTTTTGTTGTCTTTCTTCGATACTAAGAGAAAACAGGGAAATTTATAAAATGTTATCTGTGATATTCCGAAATTTAAAAAAAAAAGTCATATCTGTCTCAAAAGGAACAGAACTTCCGGGTGGAGAAGCTGTTTGTGCTCCCTACAGTGAATTAGGAGCCATCAGAAGTCCATAACTGGAAGGGTTTTTTCAGCGAATGATTAATAGGGAAAATGCCTTGCTACAGCTGATTCGGAAGTATGGTGGTTCTCTTTAGGGTAAGTATAGAGGTCTAGTACGGGTTTGCAAAAAAATATATATATTCGGTATTAAACAGCCGGTTTTTTTCTCATTACTTGTTTAACATAGCTGGGCACGCAGATGGTTCATAATGTCCCACCAACGTTCTCAGCGGGATTTCCATTGGGGATGTGTTTCTCAAATAGTCACTCAAACAGTCCCTTTTACGTCATTGATGTTCTGCGCACATCATATTGTTTGGATATCATTTAGTATGGTATTCCCCACACTTTTTCGTTTTCAAAGGTCTTATGCTCTTATATGCAATTCGTTTTGTTCATTTCATTAGATTACTGCATTGTAATTCATATGCTAAGCAAATAAATGACCGAAATGTGATTTATGAGGAATTAATGCAGTGAGTGTTTGGTTATAAATTAAATAGAACTTTTAATTATACAGGAAACAAGTGAACGGAATGGATTGGTAACAACATTTCAAGTTTCTTGGACAAAAAAACAACAACCTTCGTGCTATACAATAATAAATACATCTAGTAAATACGTCGGCTTCGTAATATGAACACTATTTCCGACAAGCTGAAAGCACAGAAACTGACCTGTAAAAAATGACGTTTTCGAAATACTAGAGGGCCAAGCTATTACGTGTAAGCAAACGTCTCGGTTACCTGAAATATGAGACTTTCAAAAATGTTAGTAATCAGTTTACTAAAGGAAGCTGAGTCAGCTCGAGACACCTTGCTCCTCAAAGATGTTGACTTCATCGATGCGGTCAGTTCAATTATGTTGCTGTGCCGTGAAACTTGGACGTAGGGGAAGTAAGGCTTACTTTTGCTCCTTGGAGTTCCATATGTCGGTCAATTATCTGCATTAATTCTGTGGGTGAAGGAACTCGACCACTTTCTAATTTCGACCATATCTGCTCGCCACCGAGGTAGATTTCAAAAGCACCAGTAGACATTAACGCACCTGGGATAATGCAAGAATACATGCTTCATCTGTTGCTGGTTGGTTACACATCAAGTATAAATACGCACAACATACCTTCAAAGGTATTTGCGAGCAGGAAGATCATAAAGCAGGAGGAAATTTTATTCTTCAATGCCCAGTCAAAAATCCTAGGAGTAGGATGACCAATAGAAGTGAACGGGTCGCGACCCATGACTATGAGGACTATGAGTGCAATTTTACTAAACGCAATGACCTAAAAAATATTCTTCAACAAAGGATCGCGAAATTAATATGACATAACTGGCAGAAGCTTTTTAACTGCTGGAATGACCAAGTAAGAAGTCTACAGGTTAAATGCTTGGTGAGTTCCAGCCAATATTTTAGCTTTTTGATTGAAAATCGTGTTCAGGTTACTAAAAGCACTCACAAAACGACAGCTTTCTGTCTTGAAATTTTGACAAAATCGTTTTTCTTTTCAATAATAAGGTCAGTTTTTTTAAACGGCTCAGTAAATTAAATCAGGCGAAAGATAAAATAACCTGAGCTATAATAGCTTTCCAAAGCACTGGTGGGTAATTCTGGCCTTCAATTTTGATGGTTGGATATTTCTCATGCACATATTTCGAAAACTCATCGTACGCCTGCCTATATCCACATGAAACACTGAAAATGAATCGATAAACACTAGTGAGCGATAAAAATGAGAGGCGATAATTTCAGTTTTCAAGAAACATCAAACTCTGTGATCAGTAAGTGGAGGGTCACGCCAATACAGTAGAAAAGGCGACTGCCGTTCCACTACCAAAGCTGAAAAAAAAAAAAAAGAAACAATTATTACCGACCAGAAAGAGAACTTCATCACAGGTAGGTTCTTCATAGTGTGTGGTGCAGTAAAATGAGATGTCGGTTTTCTTACGGGTATTTCCCCTTCATCTGTCGAATCAAGGGGCGTAACTTCTTCATCTCCGAATTCCTCACTAAATGCCTCGTCATCGGAATCTTTCTGCGAATTTCCGTATATATCCCGCAACGACAATATTAACGCTAGGGTAAATACCGCAGAACCAAGCCGTCCCATAACCATCCTGCAGATAAGTCTATAAGGTTTATAAACGAGAACGTGTACTTGTAGTGACTACTTTCAAATCTTATTGAAAAAATATTAATAGCGACAGCCAAATTTCATAAATTGTAAAAAAAGATGTTTACAATAGTTGCATGACAATCTTCTTCCAATAAAGTTTTCTATAGAATATGCAATCAAAATGAACATTAAATGAAAATAAAAATAAATGAATAAATAGTTCTTGCCCAACAAAAACTGAGGAGCTGACAACATCCAAAACTTTTAAACACAAGCTTTAAATCGTAATGGATACTGAAAGTAAAACTGACGATATTGTAACGGCTCTGCTAGAGAAACTGATGAAAAAAAAAAAGCAGGAATTGCAAAAAATTTTTGACAGTCGTTAGAATCTTGCAAAATAATCTTCCATTCTGCTTATTATTACAAGTGTTACGACGTAACCCCGGTTTAGATTCGCATATCTCCTGAAAATCAAAAAATCCTCTAAACGCCTTCCAAACAGTGTTTCCCGGGTCCTCAATACCGTTGCTCTTCAGAGATTTCAAACCTAAAACCAAACACGGCATCCCTCTAACTTTTCAAACAAACGGAAAACTACTAGTCAATTCTGACATTAATGTTAAACAGCAAACCAGTTCCAGACATTCATCAATCAAAATATCTCAGTTTATTGAATGGTAAAAGGTTCTCTACTTGCTGATATAATCCTGAAAAAAACTTGTCGATTAACCTTCCTCATATGGAACTAGACAGTAAATGAGAAACTTGCAACACATGCTAAAATTTTCTACTGCACAGCAATTCACCCTTATTTTGTCGCAATCTCGAAAACAATCGCATTCCATAAACAGACCGCAATTTCATTATAATAGTCGACCCCATCTATGATAGAGATCATTCTTTCCGCCTTCGTCATTGTCCCAAAAAGCCCCTTTGAAACTTAGATTAAGGATCAATTTCTATCCTTTTATTGCCATCCTTTCTCAAAAGGTTTCTTCGCAAAGTCGTCAGCCGTAAAAGTCGAAACCTTTGCAGTGTTCTTACTACTCCTTAGTACCAGCAAAAAGAGAACCATCAAGCTTATAAGTCCGTTGCCTTTCAAGTTTCTTGCCGCAAACTGAATTACTGATGTTACCGTCAACGAAGCGCAACGTTTCAAAAATTCACTGTACCTCCGTTAACAACAAATCAGTCACTATATGTCACAACCCCAAAGCAGTAATATTAGCTTCATTTACAGTTCTTATTTGAAATCCCAACTCATAACGAAAATTCCTTAATGATGGTTTGGTGCTTTTCATTCAATGTCCTGACCAATATACGGTACACTTGAATTTTAAAAAATTTCCAAATAATGCTAATACATACTGACGAATTTCAGACAAAATGCCACCGCACTTACTAAATTGTCTGTTTTTCAGTAACCAGGAAACTAAAATTGAGATAATCCTATTCTTTTACTACTCTGACACAACAATTTTGATATCAGTAACAGTTAATAAATTCAGCTTCGTTTGCGATGCCACAACTTCAGATTTACAGAAGTATGTTTTTCTCGAAGATCTGACCCAGGAGACACCTACAAAATGTCTTTTCCCCTCTAACTCGAGCCTACCCTAGATGCGCTGCTGGAATAAGAAAATAAAACCTGATTCATCATATTCGTTCTGAATAATCAGGAAAAACTACTCTAAAGAATCTACTGAAAAATGCATATAAGCTAGCAGTAACTTTAACAGTGGCTTCAAGATTCCAAAATAAAAAATTTTCACAAATCTCACCAGAAGAAACTTATTAGAAAAAAAAGAAGACGAGAAAATTAAATGCAATGAGTATGCTGTTAACTAAGAAGAAGAACCACATACCAGTTAAGAAATTCCTCCAAAAAATCCAAAAAAACTGATTGAAAATTCAAGAAATATTATGATGAAATGCAGAGGAAAAAGCTAAGTGCTATAAAAAGAAATTCAAATACTAATTTCTGCAAGATTAGAGCAGAATAAAAAAAAACTACATCAGACAGATATATTTATGTCGTTCATTGGAAAGACCGATTGAGATTTTTTGATAAACCAGAATAAATTATCGACAAAGATAAATTTTCAAGAAAAAAGATCAAGAACAAATAGAAAAAAATTGAACTGCTAAACAGTAAATTGCGCACTTTATACAGTTAGTCGCCTTTATGCAAATTGTCAAGACACAAAGTCAACGCATTTTTTGATTTCTGAACGACGATTTTCTTGAACCATATAAAGTAAACATTCGTAACTGGTATGCACAAGAAAAAACAGTTTTACGCGCTTAACCTAAATAACAATGAAATATAGAGAAAAAAACAACGGGACACGATGTTGACGACTGCAGTAAACTCTCGCTAGTCTTCGGACACACACACACCCACACATACACACACACACACACACACACTCACACACACATACATACATACACACACAC